TATCTCCGTTTCTTTTATCCAATTATTCTTTTTCATTCATCCTTTTTTTTATTTTAATAATAAGTTACATGTTGATAAACTTAACCAAACACACATAAATAATAATTTTTTTGTCAAGTATACAAAATATAAATAAGAAAACAGAGAGTGACATATATCACATTTGTTCAAACAAAATCTAATTAAACCTTATGAAGGAAATTTTCTACTCATTTTTACTAAAATTGAATGATAAATTACATTTTGATGAGAAGATTAAACAAGCATACACATAAACAATGATGATTTTATCGATTAAACAAAATATATATGAAAGAGAGAAAATAAACATTTGACATTCAATTACCTTTGGAAAATAAACTATATTACTTTATATTTTGTTGCAATGAATATGTCTATAAAATCAAAAAAAATTATTATTTAGCAAAAGGTTAGAATATAATCTTCATCGAAAAGTTACAGTTATTTATCGAAAAAGACTTCTTATTCATTCAGATCATGTTCTACCTTAAGCTCCTCAAATGAAGAGGAATTGCATGCAGGGGCGGAGGCAGCAGAGTAGAACTACCTGGGTCCCGGGAACCACCCTGCATATTGTCCAAAAGGCCAAAAATAAGAAACGTTTGAGGGCAGCCAATCAGAATAGAAATCAACATCACTTCCCTCCCAAGATAGCATAAAGGATTTGCCAGTAGGTAACCAGATATTTTGTGATAAATTGAAATTAGTTAGTATATATACACAGAGAAATTTTATAATGCTATAAAGCATTTATATTTTAGTTTTTGTTTTTATGGTAAAATTTGAAGTTGTACATTTAACATTATGGTATAATTTGAGATTTTACCTTTAATTTATACTTTTAACGTTATGTTAAAACTTCAAATTGTACTTTAAAGTATAGTAGAAGTACTCATATAAACAAAACTAAATTTTACATAAACAAACAAGTCAAACATATATCTAATTGTATATTTCAAAATTCCCCTTAATTTGTTATTCTACAACTCCTTCCCAAACCAAGCTCAACTACCCCCAAACTCTCGCCTAATCTGCCCACCTCTCGTCCTGTTGTAGACGACCATCTCCTGATCTCCGTTGGTCTTCTGTTGTTGTATAGTAGCTATTAGCTAAGTTGGATGATGAACGTATTTTTGAAACTTTTGAAAATACGTTATGAATATTGTAAGTATTAATAAATTTATTTTGTATTAAAAAATATTTTATAGTTCTTCATTTTGGACCCACCCTAAGTCAAATCCCGGCTACGCCCCTGATTGCATGTGCAATAATTTTATAATATGTCCCAAGTTCACATTAATAATATTTGCTCTATATCATGTTTGATTGAGCAAGCTCTATTGAGGTCCTAAGTCGTATGCTAAGAAATTTTCTTTCAGACTTGGAGTTATAGTCGACGATTATAAATCAAAATTTTCAAAATGGCTTAAGTATGATTGTTGACGAACTTTGACTTCATACCCTAGGATGAGACACAAGATTCCTTGAAAAATAACATATGAGAAGGTTAGAGAAGTCTTTGTTGAGAATCTATGATAAACATTACGTTTTATCAACTAATAACCTAGGCACTTACCAAATAAAGGTTGACAACTTTTAGTAAGATAGTCAATTGGGATAAACATATTTATCCAGCAATCAAGTATCTTTATCCAATCATTTCAACTCTCAAAATTGGTTGCCAGTTCGCCAAACTCGAGAAACACAAATTGATTTATGTTGTATAAGATAATAAGTTAATGCAAATAATCAAATGATAAGACATTTTAAATGCACTTGAAATATGTGTGTATTGTAGACACTCTTTATCAATTATTAATATATAAGTGATAAAATCTTTGAAAATTACACATTCAACGATCATGTTAAGCCAATATATAAACAATGACCACGGGTTGAGGCTTAGTCTAAACTTCAAAAATTAACAATTGATACATATTATATAATATACTAAATTTCAGTGTCTTGATAAAAAAAACTAACATCCAATATGAAAATGAGTCGAGATTGGAGAATCTAATCATCATGAGGGCTACAGTGTGTGTCAAGTTTCAATATGGATGAATAAATTGATCCAATAATGAAGTATCTTTACAACATTGGTCGAGAATGAATTTGTATTGGATTTTCAAATGACCTAAAATCTCAATCCCTTTCGGGGGCTAAATACTTCTGATCACAACCATAGGTTACAAAGAAGAATGAAAAGAAGCCCAAAAAAGCATAAAAGAAAATAACCTCCAATACGATGAGCAAAATAAAAGCATATCAAGCTATCATCCTGTCATCCCTACTCTTTTATTCTTTATAAAGGGGGCTGCGAGAGAGGATAAGAAATAAATAGCAGGATCTTAGAATTTGCCTCTTTATATATTACATATCAAACGATAGACAACCCCAATGTTTTTCTGACGTCATGGGGGTAATACCCGATCTCTATCCTGGGGTGGGGGATAGGCAAGTAGCACTTTTAATATGAGTATTAAGCGAGATAGGATAGGTCTGACGAAGTATCTGGATAATTTTGAGTCTATATATATATATATAATATCAAGGGGTGATTTCTACAATACCTAGGGTGAAATTCAGGGTACCACATACCTTGAGTATGAAAACGTTATCCAGGCCTTGAATTGACTGATCTTTCGGACATGATACTATACTCCAACCCTTAGAGATCAAAATCTAGGTTTTAATTCTCTAAATCTTATACCCCAAGATCAATTTAATTAGAAAAAAATTATCAACGGTTATAATTCGTACAAATATAAGCAAATAATGAATGCACCATCTTAGAGTTTATAGTTTATGATTTAGATAATTAGGACCTAGGATTCACTCATTAAGGGTTAGGGTATATTATCCAGCCCAAAAATCCTGTTAATTCAATGTCTAGATAGAGTTTTCATATTCAAGGTATGTGGTACCCAAGATCTCACCCGGGGTACCGTAGAAGCCCCCCAATATCAAGGTATACTATACTTTTGATTTTACTCAATATACGATAGAAGATAGGTATGACGAAGTATGTGCATAAATTAGAGGTTAGAGAATTAGGGACTTGAGTTCACCTATTAGAGGTTAGGGTATAGTATCACGCAGCAAAACACTCCGATTAATTCGGGGACAAAATAGTAAAACTCAATGGTGGTATAGTAGCATACTCCTGGCGCACGCTAGTTTGAACTATATCTGTGTGTGTGGTTCAGGTTGGCATACGCTAAATATTAGTATTTTGGTTGACAAATTTTGACATAAGTTATAAATGGTACGAGACAGCGACAACATTTATGATTAGAAAACCGGAGCATCACAAGTGAGTGTGCTAAATATTGAAAATTTTCGATATAGACATACTACAAACTCTGTTATAGATCAAGAACACAAAATATTTAGAAAATCCAAATTTATTTAAACATATAAAAAAGTTAATTAATATAAATTATAAAATAAATATATCCGGCCAACGGGCCGGGTAAAAAGCTAGTACAAAATTGGAGGTTTGCCCTGCATTAACCAAACTAGGAGACAATGAATTGCCCAAGAAAACCTAGCATTCAAACCTTTTTCAAAGAAAGGAAAGGGGGTTTTCTCTCTACCTATGTTAGAATGGCAATTAGATTATAGGCTTTCACACAACACAATCATTCATGAATAATACATCAACATTCACATTAAACACAACCATACAAAAATCATTCAACACATACAAGCATTCACATATTTTAAGCTAGGGTTCACTACACCCAAGTGAATAGGTAGGCTATTCCATAGCTAGGCAAAAGAAAACAAGAAAGAGGAGAGAAAGAACCATGAACAAATGACAATTTTGAATTTTCCTTCCTCCTTGCTTGAATCTCCCTTGAGAGGTAAGAATCTTCACTCCTCTAGCTTAGGGCAAGCCCAATCTCCTTCTTCCTTCTGTGAATTGCTCTCTCTCTCTCCCTATAATAATAAGAGGAAACCCTAATCTCTAACTAGAAACCCTCCTTTATTCTACACACTAAAAACCTACCAAAAGCCCCCCTTCTTCCTCCTTTCAGCTCTCTATTTATACCCAATCGTGCTCAGTTCACGGTCCCGATTCACGGCCGTGAACATCAGAACGCGTCCGTGAACTCAGTGAGATGGGTCAAAACGCACTACTTCACTTCTGGGGTTCACGTTTTGTTGTTCCATTTCACGGTCTTAGCGACCTGAACTGCCTTGGCGTTAGTAACCTCAAAAACCCCTCTAGACGCTTTGTTGTTCACGGTTTGTGGTTCCAGTTCACAGTCCCATGGACCGTGAACTCGCAGCTGTGACCGTGAACTGCGGCTGGTTCCTGGTTCCTGGACTTTGGACTTTTCTTCGGTTTTTTGCGCTTTTTGACTTCAATCGTCCCGAAACCCGTTCTCGACCCTTCCACACGTGCTACGACCTGAAATGTATCAAAACAAGCACAACCTAGCGTGAAATACGTCGAGTGATGATGAAATGCAAAGCCAAACTATCAAGAAATGAGAGGTAAAATGTGTACAATTTGACCTGAATCAAACCTTCAACCTGATTGAATCCTGACCGATGAACCCAAAACCCAATTGAACCCAACCCGAACCCGCATGATTGACACCTATAGTTAAAATCGACTTAAAACTCCTTTTGATTTTAGATTTATTGATTTGATTGTTGAAAGTACCCAGAAGAATGGACAAAACTAGGCGGGAGCCCGGCCAAATGTAAAGCGCTCCAACTCGAAATAACAAAACTATGGGCATGTTTGGCAGTTAGGATTCTATAAATTAATGCATTTAATCAATGTATTGTTATAATTAGATATATTGTTTCAATGCATGAATTTACAAAATTCATTATTTAGAGATTGAATGATTTTGGTGGTCCCTCTAAATATAAGGATGAAAAAGTGAGTTAAGAATACCTCAACAATCTCTGCTAAAAGCTGAGATTAACAATATTTCATAACAAATGATTCTTGTTGTCTCATCTATAGTTTAAATACAAGTATTCTGATTTTGTTTAAGACCAAAAAAAAATATGAAGTATTCTTCTGTAAATATATTGGTTAAATACATCATATGAAATTCCAACTTCCAAACGACCCCTACGGTTCTTTCTCTACCTTGAGCCCAGATTGAGTCCAAAACTCATTTACAAGAAGCAATAACATCTATGCAGGCACTGTATCACATTTTTACTTCAAATCATATTTCACAAACAATCAAGTGTACAAGACAACTGCCATACCTCTTCTCTCATTCTAAATCTGCGTATTTCTACCATTGCTCTTTGCACACTGAGCAATTTGCAGTCACAGGGGAGAGAAAGGAAGAAACTCTTTAGTGTTCTCCGCCCTTCCGTATTCAGAGTTAGCACATGCTTCTCATCTTTTCCAGAATACAAAATGGGAAGGCCACTATTCCTCCTATCACAGTTTCACTAGTTACACTATCTTCTTCACCTAGCACTCTCCGAATGGAAGAATCATATGAATGCTTTGTCTATCTGACCTTCTCACCTAACTCAAGGGAAGCAATGGATCTCCAAAACAGCTATATGATAGACACCTCCCCCTTTGATCTGTGTAGGTTTAAGAATAATACTGCAGGTATCACATCTGAAAAATGCTATCAACTTCTTCGCACACGTGTAACTATATATCGTCCTTTCTCTAGATCATAAATCGTCTTTAATTGAGGCTTCCTCCATTTCGACACTGACCACACTGCAAACATGAACAATGCGGCAATGGCAACTAACCATAATAATGTGGGTGAATCATCACCGATAACAGTGGAGATCCAGCTAGGGTGTTGCATATCCTGTGAAGAACTGGTCAGCAAGATGACAGCTCCGAGTGCCCAATCAAGAGGGATATTCCCAACATGATTGCCGTACCCAATCCTGATACAAGCCCATTTAGACATTTATGAATTAAGGCCATTCAAAGGAAGAGAACCTGCATAATTGTATCCGACAAAGAACTAGAATGGCTAGATGGTAAACTTTACCGTTCATCATCCAAAGATATGCCAAGGCTGTCGTGAAGTAGGGCAACAATATACGCAGAAGAGAAGCAATAGCGCATAAGATCATCATCTTTGAGAGATAATGATCTATGCTTCCTTCTCAAACTTGACCAATCCTCCCCACAAAATTGTTTTCCAGCTCCCATAAGATCAGAGAGAAAAGCTTTTGGACTCAACCCAAAGAACTGAAGAGCCAAAACAGTTACCAACAATCAACACATAGATTTGTCATGAAGGTGATTATAACCTGAAGTCAGAGAATGCTCAACCGTCTATTAGAGGGAGCTAAGGGAGTATCAAATAGGTACTTTTTATAAAAAAGAGAGGAACAACCAACCTTAGATGTATAGAAGAAATTCTCCGTTGCCAAAAACTTCCCCTGAAGCTTCGGTATGAATGTTGGTCCTATAGAGCAGTGTTGGTAGGCACATTTATCTATGTCCAAAATAATAATGAGTTGATCAGACAAAACAAGTTACGCATAAATGCAATATCACAAAGATGTAAGAGAAACTGTTATAGGAAAGTCTGTGAGATAGCGCAATTACCTTTTCCTTTCTGTAAAAGTGTTAATGCAGCAGATCTGCACTCAGAAAAGTTACCCCCAGGCTGAAGGTTTGACAGAAGACTATCCTTCTCTTCAATGAAAGAACCTGATGAGGAACTTTCCGCAGCCATAGCATGTGAATACCCCATGGGAGTACAAGGATCCAATTTTACTCCTCCCTTTTCAACCAACTCAGCAGCTGTATTTGTTAGGATGGGTATCAGATTTCTATAAACTTACAAGTGTTTAATCATAAATAGCATAAAAGGAGAGAATGATTCATATGTAGCAGTCCAAAACAGAAGAACCACCATTCGAACATGCTGCAGCTTTGGCTCTCTGGTAGACAACTTATACTGTGAACGAAAGAATGATTCCCTGGCATCACTAATACCGTAATACCAACACAAATTTCAACATGCTTTAGCCATGCACAGCACGGGAAAAAGAAAGCTTCATCCTTACATGATTGATGGTCTGGTGACACTAGCAATTCCCTCAATGCATCAAATGCAGCATTCTGGTAGATGGAAATTTATAAGCTTTAAGCCACATGTGAATGCTCAAGAAAACAATTGATGATGATAGTTCAAAGAAAGGGAATTGCACTTTCTTTTTTAATCAAAAGCACCATTTTGGGACACGGAAGAAAAAAGAAAAATGGAGGAATAAATAAAATATGACAAATTACCTGACCAAACTGAAGAAAGCTGTGGCTGTAGATGTTATATATTACATTCCCAAACTTGACAGTCCGGGAGAACTCAGGAGGCAACGGCTCATTTGAAACAAAAGTTATCTGTACCACCAAAATATCCACCAATTCCACACATCACTTCATATTTCCTCTCCAAAGCATTAGAATTGCAAAGCATACTGTCAACTCTATACCTACCACTACAACAAATTAATGCAGTTAAAATTCGCTATGATATTTTTCACCAAATTTCTCTCTTACAAGTCACCATTAGTACATCTATTTATAAGACAGTCTGATTTAGCAACAAAACTGCCACCCTAGAAGTGTTAATAACTGTTTACATTTTTCGTTAATACCACGTCGAAGCTAGTACCAAACCATTGACACAATTCAGTTCGGCAAAATCTGTACTGTGAAGTCTCTCACCAAACCAGATTTAAAAAAATGATCCAGGGTACAAAGCGAGCAAAACTGTAAAGTGAAAAAATTAAGAATAGGAACCATGCCTGAGCAGAAGCTCCACCAAGCTCAATTATACCAGTTGTCTTGAGAGGGTCGGCTCCAAGAGTACCGGAAGCGTAGTTGGCAACAATCCAAGCATAAACACCCTCATCAGAACCTTGCCAAGAAAAAGAAAAACCAAGGCACCCACCATTAAATCTCAAACCTTTAGGCACAAAGTTGAGACTCCGAAGACAAAGCCATCACCACCAGGCAACTTACCATTAATAACAGAAGCCCATTCATCCTTAAACACGAACCTAGATTGCCTCAGAACCCTTCTACACGATTCTAGAATCCTGTGTTGCACATCAAAGTCCAGCAACCTCATCCCAGCAGTAGCCATCAACCGAATTTTTGTATCACCCCATAGCCCCCTCGGCACTCTCTCCTTCCCAAACTCAAGCAGCTCATTAAGAGATGAACCAGCGGATTCCGGATCCTCGGCATACGCCGACAATCCGGGGCTAACCCTCATCGCCGCCTCCTCCCCAAAATCGAACACCGTCTTCCCGCCCTGAACCCTGTAAGCGAACACGTGGAGCCGCGTCCCGGTGCTGCCGCCGTCGATAACAATCCCGTACTTCTTATTCCAATCCACAACTTTACCGGTGCGGAACAGGTAATAACACGAGATTAAAGCGATCAGGGTGAGGACAAACCCGAAAACGATGAGATTGGACTTGGATCGCTTGGAGGGTCGCGAAATCGGGTAATAGGCGAAGTTGGGGGCGGATCGAGACGTAGCTGGTCCCACTCGCTGTTGGAACTTGACGGGATCCATTCCGTTGTGGGTAGTATCGCTGTCAACAGACTTAGAAGCGACCCGATTGCGTAGCCGCAATGATCGCATCAGAGGGGAACGGCGACAGGGAAATGGAGAATCGGGTAAACATACGACAATGCGGAGGCGTTGAAGAATTGGAAGAGAAGATTGCAACACGAGCGATGGGGGAGGTAGACGTGGCGGCGGAGGAAGAGGAGAGGGAGAGGGCAATCATGGAATGGACCGGGTAGGAATCGGAAGAGGCGCCCTCTCTCTCCCTGCCGGAGGCGGACTTCCGGCAGAAGGGTCTCTGGACGCGTAGGAGATTCGAAATTCGAATGTCAGCCCTTTCCTTGGAGGTGACGAGAACGAGACTAGACGATGGTGAGACGAAGGTAAAGGCCCAAAGGGGGAAAAGGGATAAAAGAAAAAATGACGGAGGACACGGAATTCGGTGAATTTCCGTTTACGAGAGTTTTACGTCCACTGGATTACACCATCCGTATAACCCGATTCAACCCGTGTTCCAACTATTTCTATGAGTTCGGTTTAAATTACACGTTTGATCACTCGAATTATATAAATCTTTCACGTTTGTCACTCGAATAACTTTTCTTTCTTGTTCGCCACTAGCTTTACGAATCATTTTACCGTTAGTCACCGATCGTTACACTCCATTAAATTTATCTTATGTGGTAGTCAACTATAAAGTTTGACCGTTAACTTGATAACGTGGAAATTAAAAAATTAAAAACAAAATTTGCACCTCATCATTCCACATCATCATTCGTCCTAAACCCTACTAAAAAGACATTGTTAACCCATTGCCCCTAGCAATGAAAACCCACCCATCCCCATCGTACTACCCCTCCCCTTCCCCCAATTTCAGAGCCGCCGCAAATCATCGTCCTAAATCACCCACCGCCGACCAATCCATCATGCACCAACGCCCAGCCTTAGGAAGCAGAAGGAATTGAGTCGCCCACCTCAACACGTCCTCCGCCGCACGCAAACACTTTCTGCTTCTGCCGGGTTCTGATCCGTCCATTGCCGCAATCTCTGCTGCGATCGACCTTGAGGAGGAATATGAAGGATGTTCGTCGCCGCCGAGGAGGGGAAGGAGGAAGAAGGCCGGAATCCTCCGGAACTAAAATTTTCTATTTGTTCTGGGTTCTGCTTGTTGGGAGGATTGAAATCCCGTCTCCGACAGTGTTTGAACAGGTTCAAAATCCCTCCCCGCCTCAAGCTCTCAATCTCCTCGACCGGCTACTATAACAAATCCGCTCCCGTTCTGCTCCAGGAAATCGCCACTAAATTAATATTTGTAATTTATTATTTTTATTAAATAATTGATATGATAATATAGACAAAGTAAGGGATGATGGAAAAAATTCAAAAGTACCACTGTTTAAAAAAAGATTTACAAAAATACCACCCTTTTTCAAAAACCGCCACCCCACTCTGCGGTTTCACGAAAACCACTTGTCGGGGCGCGGTTTTCTATGCAAACCGCGGGCATAGGGGGCGGTTATAAAAAAAAAAATTTGGACCAAACCGCTTGGTGGGGTGGCGGTTTGGCCCAAAACCGCCACCAACCCAGCGGTTTGGTCCAAAAATGTTTTTTTTTCCGATCAACTTCTAACTTCGGCCGAAACTTCAAACGAACGTAACTTTGCACTCGGGTATCCGATCGTAGCGATTTTTTTTTTCATTTCGCATAAATTTTCAAGATCTACAACTTTCACTAGGATGAAATTTTCAAAACAGGAATTATTTGTGATATACGCTACCTTGGGAATAACTTTACCTTTACTTTTCACAAATCCATGTACATTTTGAAATTATGATTATGTTAACAGTTGTAGATCTTGAAAAGTTATGCGGAATTAAAAAAGTAAATATAAAATCAACATAATGTCAATATTAATAATGAAGAATTAATAATTGAGATCATGGACAATATTAATATAATATATAAATTAAACTATAAATAAAGTAAAGTAATGTATTTGATAATTTGATGTTTTTAAAAGAAGAGAGAAATTTTGGTGTATTCAACTTTTTGGGAAGAGAAAGAAGAGGGAAATTTGGTTCTTTGAATTTTTTAGAAAAGAAACAAGTGGGAATTTTAGTGGTTTTGATTTGTGGGAAGAGAAAGAAGTGGGAAAGTTTGGTTCTTTTGATTATGAAAGAGAAATAAGGAGGGAAATTTTGAGTTTTCAACTTTTTGCAGAAGGAATGAAGGAAGAGGGAAATTTGGTTCTTTCAATTTTATGGAAGAGAAAAAGGAGGGAAAGTTGAGTGTTTCTAATTTATTGAAGGAGAAAGAAGGAGGGAAATTTTAGTATTTTTTATTGTGAAAAGAAAGAAGGAAACAAATTTGGTGTTTTCAATTTTTGATTTTTCAAAATTTTAGCCTTTGAAATATGAATCTTTAACTTTTATATGGAGGGCATGACTAGTTAAATTTATTCTTATATGTTTTGAAGGCTAATATGTATATGTATGTAATTGTTTATGGCTAATAATTAAATTAACCATTAGTTACAACAATTATACTAAACTTGATAAGTAATCTTTGACGGTTCGTTATTTAGGGTATAAAGTATATGGTTAGGGTAGGGTGTATATGGTTAGTGTATAAGAATTGATGGTTTTGACGGTTCTAAGTTTTTTATTAACATATGTTCACTTGAAGTCATTTGAAGTCTTTAACGGCAGGAGATCCCTTATCCATTTATGTTTATGGTACGTGGCTAGGGTACAAGGTATGTGGTGTAAAGTATATGATATATGGTTAGGGTATAACAATTAGCAAATATCACTTTTTATCTATGTTTTGAAAATCAAAGTATGAATTTCACTTTTAAATTAACTATACTAGCAAAATCACAACTCAAGGACATATGGTTAGAGTATAGGGTATAGGGTATGTGGTTAGTGTATAATGTATTGATGATTTAGGGTATACAATCAACAACATATACTAACTTAATATTGTTGATTGAGGGTAAGGCTAAGTGTATAGGATATAGGATATATGTTATTGAGTAAGTTATGATTGAAGTCGCAATAATTTTACTAAGTTTGATAGTTAATCTTTAATGGTTCAATTTTAAGGATAATTCGAACAATTTTACACATAATTCGTTTGGCAACACTTTACCGAAGTTATTTGGGCAATGAGTTATTTCTAAATAACTCCTTTTATCACTCTGCTTTTGCCAAATACCACACGCCAAATACCAGATTTGCATGGTTATACTAAACGAGACACTTTAATCCAATTAGTACTGAATTAATACTAAAATATAAAATAAACAATTAATGGTGTCTTTTGGTTGCAAATATTGATATCACCATTACTATTAGCTAGTGTACTTTATCAATTATGATTAATTGCATAATAAGTTTGCAAGTCATACAAATTGATTTAACATTTTGACTAGTTTTTTTCTAAAAAAAATTAAGTATATATATATATGAGGTAGAAATAAATTGGTTAAAAAGTTGAGAAAATATTTTAAATTAGTGTAATAAAATGTGTAAGTTGGTAACGAGTAATGAGTAAGTTACTCGATGCGCTGGCCCGAACAACCCGAGACCCGATCCGCCCGCAACTCGCCCTACCCAAAACCCGATGAACCCGCAACCCGATTTGCCCGCAACCCGATTGAACCCGAACCCGATAAACCCGCAACCCGACTAACCCGCAACCCGTTTGAACCCGAACCCGATGAACCCGCAACCCTTTTATACCCAAACCCGATTGAACCCAGCCCGAACCCGCCCGATTGACACTTATAATGGTTACCAATACCAAGAGGGATAGTAAAGCTACATGGGTCGGACCGCTTTTTGGGCAAGCGATCGAGGAGGATAACCGAACACTCATCACCAAGGCTTGTAGGGCATCACATTTGAGCCATGGCTTCAAGGAAAGGGATATTGAGGTGGAGGTTGTGGAGCATTTCCATAAAACCTCCGCACTCGTGTTCCAGCCTCTCCTTGTACATCCTCGTGGGGAAAGGAAGGGGTGGCTTGTACTCAACCACCGGAGGTGGTGTCTGCGATGCCTTCCTTGCCACTTTCTTCTCTCCCCTCGAGGGATCTTCCTCTCCAACCTTCGGGTTGGAACCTTCCTTCTCCCTCACTTCTTGAGCGGCAACTCCCGGAGTCACCTTTCCACTTCCCACTTGAATTGCATTCACCACGGCACGATCCTTGTGGTTCGCAACGGTTTGGGAAGGTAGGGCTCCCTTGGGTCTCTCAGTGAGGATCCCGACAAGATTGCCGATTTGCACCTCCAAACTTGGAGGCTCGCTTGATGGCTTCGGAGTCCCACCACAACCGAGGTAAACTTGGTAGTCACCACATCCATAAATTGCTCAATCTTCTCGAACTTTTGAGCACTCGTGCTCACAAAGGTGTTCACTAGGTCTTCAAGCTTGGATAGCTTGTCGGGTTGTTATTTTTGTTGAAACCCTTGGCCACCATGTGCTTGGTATGGTTGTTGGATGCTTGAGCTTTGGATTTGAGGCCTTTGTTGGATGAAGGTTGACCGAGGTTGGTAATTGCCCGTGGGGCCTTGAAAACCCCGGTTTCTAGGATTAGTCGGTGATGACCAAGCAAAATAGGGGTGGTTCCAACACTCGGGATTATAAGTATTGTTGTACGGGTTATTAGCCCTAGCATTTGTTACGAAGTGGACTTGTTCCTCTGAAGTGGTTGCCTCCTTCATTGCTTGGTATTCCACCATCTCATGGCTAGTGCTTAAACACCAGTCACAAGACATTACCGACCTCTTTCCTTGCTTCTTATCTTCAAGAATTACCTCGATCAACTTGTCAAGCTTCGCTTCAAGTGGAGCGCTGGCTCCCACACTTCTCACTCCTCTATCATTACTTCTTTTCCCGCTCCTCGTCAAACCCCAATCGTACCCCTTGAGGGCCATGTCTATGAGCAATTCAGTTACTTACGGTGGAGCCATATTCATCAATTTCCCTTGACACAGAGAGTCAATGAGCATTTTGTCTTCTTGGATTAGTCCACCGTAGAAAGTTTCAATATGAAACTGCTCCTTGAACCCATGGTGTGGGCATTGAAGAAAGTAATCGGAGAATCTCTCCCAAGCATCCCTCAAGGTCACGCCTTCTTCTTGCTCGAAATGGGTGATCTTCTTCCTCGACTCGGCCATCTTCAAAGGCGGGCAGTAGCGGGTCATGAATTTGTTGAGAAGATCATCCCATGAGGTGATTGAACGTGGCAGGCGGTTGTTTAGCAACCGGATTGCTTTCCCCGCTAGTGAGTAGGGGGAAAGCCTCAATTGCAAAGCTTCAGCCGGAATGCCATTGATTTTCAAGCTTCCCGCGAGCTCCAGAAATCTCCCCACATGCTCTCTTGGTGACTCGCTCGGAAGACCGTGGAACAAAGCATTGTTCTGTATCATGGTCACTAAAGCCGGCTTGATCTCAAAATTGTTGGCCGCCATGGGAGTG